ACACCTGTAACCATGAAAGCGAGTCCAGGTCATTCATATTTATATATATATTCAATAGACAATTATCTTAGCATTATATTTGTAATGTATCGAACCTCTAGGCCTTTCAAAACATAGGAGGTTTCGTATATGTTGATACCACGTAACTGTTTTACTCTGAAAAAGTAAAAAAACATCATTAAAAGATATCAGTATAATTGACCCCTTTGACCTTGAAAGTAGGTCAAGGTCATTCTTCTTAACAAACATATTAGGCAATTACCTTAGCATTATGTGTGTGAAATATCGAACGTCTAAACCTTTCCAAACCTGAGAAGAAGTTTCTGGTAGTTTAGTACTCTAAATTGCACTCTTGAACTTTAACCCCTACTGAAAACCAGAAGATGTCGTTTTACACAATTCTACATAACATGTCCAAAGATAATTTCAAAATGTCACGTCTATATTGAGATATTGACGTTAGGGCAAAAATCAATTATTTTCATTGAGTTTTGGGAATTTAAAAAAAAAAGACACTAAAATGATCGGATTGATATTCTGCATTGCACTGTGGACGAAAAATCGAAAAAAAAAAAAAAATTCCATATATAACTGACCCTTGGCGTGCTTTTTATTTGACAGAATTTCTATTAAAACGTATGAAAAAAAAGTTAGATATGGCCCTCGTCTACATAAAATATTTGTAGGACAAAAAGTTCTCGAGTTATTGCTGTTTTTAGAATTTCTGGTTATCTGATCATGGCGGCCATATTGGATTTTTAACCTACTTAAAAATGCGGCATTAACACGTTTACAGGTACTTCCATAACGTACTATATAGGTTGCGTGCCTATCTCTTACCATTTAAAAGATTACGAACCTAAGTATTCGGTAAATGAGAAATGTGATTTATTAAACTTATTTTCATTTTAGAGAAACATTTTCCCCAAAATATTTATTATTATAGCTGTAAATAAAGAGAAACCAGAGAATGAACAGGTAATAAGAAAAAAACTTAATGTAGAAACAGACTAAGGAAATATTTCATAAGAGAGGAAAACAAATTAATTCAATTTAATGTAACGCATTACGGCCTCTCAGCTTTCAGCGGACAGAAATGACAAGACAATGAGTAGAGAGGAAATAGTACGAAGTGTCGGGAGTAAGTGGGAAACAGAAAAGGTAGAGAGGTCCTGGTAATACTATCAGACCTGTTACTAAACTATTGTGTTGACGACAACCCCACTAGACCTAGCCTACTCAGACGAGTCCTTAATTCGAACAAAGACCTAATCTCCGGACCGCCGTTATCATGCCTGCTCTTTTCAGAAAAAGCAATGAGGGATCTTTATCGTGCAAGTAGCCCTCTCCTACACGAACTACCAGTTTAAGTTCCATCCGACGGCCTTTTTTGTTTGTGGCTGTTTTGGTAGTAAATTGATTCGCACTCGTGAAAGATACCAAAATATTAGCCACACTAGTGAAATTTATTTGTTATTACTGAAGACACTATTAAATATCCTATATATATATCACCTTAAACTACCAGAATTTAGTGAATAAATAAAATTGTTACATTTTTCCTGTTCTCGCTAAAAGAAATCATAGATATCATTTTCTAACAAATGTGTAAATCTACATACAAGACAACAACAGAGAAGCTGATTGACTTAACGTTACAAAACGCCTCCCATCGATAGCCGCTCCTATATCATGCAACATGTGTGTGTTTACTGAAACACTCCTGTTTTCATTGCTATGCTTATTTTACGCCAACGTATTGGCGGTTACGATGCTGATTCACTTTTGATGTCATAAAAGGCCTCCCATCGACATTCGCTCTGTGAGCATGGACGGATTATCTAGATCGTCGTTTTACTTGAAAAAAGAGCTGTATTCGGGAAATAGATCCAATTTAGAAGAAGGTTACAAACACAGAATAGCTATGCAAGCCCGAAAAGACAGTTTTAGAACCGCAATTTAATTCGATCTTTGTGTATTGCATGCGCAGACACGATCAAAGCTTGATCATGAGGAGGACGTAAACAATATAACGCTGTTTCAATCAGTATTTCTTAACCATGCTCTTCTTTCAGAAATGTTGGTTTAAATCTGGTAAATGTATCTCAGAGTTGTGAATGATTTGTAACACAAAATGAGTAATCGGGCCTCAGGAAAGGACACTGGTCAAATACCTATTTATATATGAAGTACCCTTTGCATTCGTATTGGATTGATAAATCGTAAGTTGTTGTTGGAATGTTATTAAATCAATATAAAAACTTGGAGAATATGAACTCATTTTTTTCATTGTATTTCATTCTTAATCCATTTTATAATGAAAAAAATATTACTTTCTCGAAAATATATTATGTTTCCAATGTCAACAAATTGTAATTCGAAAATTGAGGCCAGTGTATTACCTGTTGGTGATCTCTGTATGTTAATGCCATCAAATAGTGGAAAATAATGGAATTCAGTTTTCATTATGTCCGTATATTAAGTGGCTGTTTTAGACCCGTGATTGATAAAGATATCAGATAAGGATAATGGCTTTTTTATTACAAACTCAGATTTATCCTCGATATGTCGATATTGTCACAGCTTTTCAATTGTCTGTTTCACAGCTTTTCAATTGTCTGTTTCTGTTTTACATAAGGTATGTAAAAGTTATCAATGTAAGTAGAATCTAGTCACGCTTTTACACGTTGATTTAAATGAGAAATATTATTTAAGGGACATTTGCAGAATATGTTTCTTTTTTTTTTCGAAAGGCGATTTGAACAGCCGACCATCGGATGATCGCGAGCTCAAAAGGTGTACTTTCGAAACAGTGTCAGACACATCAATGCAGACATTTGTAATTCTCATTTAATAAAAAAAAACTCGACTTGTTAATGTGTTTATATTTATGAGGTTAAACTTCATTATTGTCTATACTGCTAAGTCTACACTAATGAGAGGACTGTATTGACTTGGAATTTATATGCTACTGACTCTCCTGTTAAATAATGCAAATGATATAGATGTTATATTACATGGGGGTGCCTACAAAAATGGAAAGGTGTTTGGCAAATCTTAGATTTGACGATGGGTTTCATATCAAGTACCGCTTTTAACTTCACATGTTTGATAGAGCCTTCATAACTCTCAGCTCTTATATGTATAAATGTAGTAGTGTACGTTATATCATTATGTACAAAGTTACTTTTTTTATATTTTGGCTTCACTAACATGTAATACGAAATGTAACATCACATAATACATTAGGTAAATCTACATATTAATTAATCATAAGTAGTTGTATCAATTAATTAGTCATGTATAAGGAAGTGTTTTGCACCAGTATGTCTCTGTATGTAGGCGAGTTTGTGATTATACAATGTATACATGTTTATTTCTATATAGCGGGTTGGTCGTAATACTGAAGCGACCAATACAAAGATATATAGTGGGAAAAAACGGGACTGAAAAAAAGTGCCCGTGGTCGTAATTTTGAGGTGGTCGTTAGGTGAGGTTTCACATTGTTTTTTTTTTCACTGCACAACGAACCGTCCAAATATTCTATAATATACAATATATAGTTACAAAATTCCAACCTTCAGTATCAGAAAGTACCATGGAGCATTTCAATATGTTTAACCTACCGAATTAATCTCCTGCGCAATGCATCTACATATCTCGCCCTAATAACTACGTTTCAGTTTAACATATCTTCATTTAATTGTTGAGTCCTCATGTTCATCCCCCTATCCCCGTAAAAACACTGTACTGTGTCCTCCTGGTTACCGACATTCTTCCTTCTTTAGTTAATCACCGTACAAAAAAATGTTTGAATTGGTTTCTTGTTCACATGATAGAGGGGAGGTAACTCGTCTTTTATTAGAACACATGATGCCAGGTCGTGTTGCTGTGAATGTGTGTATCCATTTGTGCGCCTAAGGAAGTGGGCTTATATAGTATTCAGCCTGTGACGAAGTACCAATTGACTTTTTCATTAAAACCTTTATAAAATAAAAAAAATCGGCAAAAGTTTGGAAAGCTTACTCTATAAGCTCATTAACAATTCCTTTTTCAGCAATAAACTTTTGTATACAGTCTGACTTCTTGCCAAATCACTTCAAAACTCGCCAATTCTTCGAACTCTGTCATCGTAACTAATAGTCATATAAAATTGTGGACTTACTGCTCTTGTTTTCTCGTGATTTTTCCCAAAGCGTTTCACCGAGTCTTAAACGAACCTAAGTTAATTAAACTAAAAAATATTGGATTGGAGGCAAACGTTTAGAATGAATGAAAACCTACTGAACAGGCGCCAGTCTGTCTTGCTTAAAACATCTTTAAAAGTATCTATGAAAGCTGGATTTACTCAAGGTTCAGTTATAGTACCTCCTCACATTCTCTGTTCCTTGTGTAAATAAAAATCAAATTCATTAATAGACTTTTTGCTGATGACACCGTATGAACATACTTTTCCAACAGTTTGCAGGCGATAGAACAAGTATTCATATCGTTTAAAGGCTTAAAAATCTAGGAATTGCTATTAACAGTAATATTACATGGCACTATCACACTGAAGACGTAATAACCCAAAGAATTACGTACATCGCAACGTTTAGAAAACTGACATACACCCTTAATTTAAGAGATTACTCTGTGGATATGATCTGCGAAGTATGGGACAATTTCACCGCAACACATTAAAATAATCTAGAGAACATTTAGTATGAATCAGTTTAAAAGTAGCTGGATAACCAATTTAAAAGGATGTATTTGCAGAGCGTTTGTGTGGCAATCATTAGTTGATACTCGTCAGAAACGACAATTATCCATTTCTATTGCTTTTATAATGCTCCATCTTGTTTAAAATTTTACTACCCCCTAATGTCTCAAATGCCTCTATAATCCTTAAGAGCTCCAGAACCCTGGCGTTCGTTAGTCTAGGAAAAAAGGACATTTTGATTTCGTCATTGACTGAGATGCCACGCTTAATGCAAATTTAAAGAGCTAGTGCAATAGCGATGTTGATGGATGGTACTCATGGCAGACCCATTAGTGTTCAAACTGCCAGGAACCACTTGCGTGCCGAGAGAATCAAAGCGCGCCGACCTTATGTTGTGCCACCTCTGACACCATGGTGGCGTCAAGTGCGTCTTGACTGGATGCAGAAACATGGCTCGAATAGGTTTGGGATGCGTCGATTGAGGCGTGTGTTGTTCAACGACGAGTCTAGATTCTGTCTGTATCCCTCAGACGAAAGAAATGTGGTTTTACCTCAGACGCAGTGAGCGTTCCGCCGACGCATGAGGGATTGAACGCGAACTATTGGGCGGGGCTTCTGTAATGTTTTGGGGGAAGTCTCGCCCATAGAGTAAAATCCCCCTTAGTGGTCTTGGATCCAAACTTCAATGCCGTTCGACACAGAGACTAGATCCTCCAACTACATGTCCTTTCACTTCTCATACGTCATAACCTAATTTTCCAGCAAGACCGCATGTTGTCAGAGTCTGTCGTGTTTTTCTCAAGGCAAACATCGTTCAGACTCTGGAATGGCCCCATATAGCCCCAACATGTCTCATTGAACACCTGTGTGTTGAGATTGACAGGCGTCTTAGGAAACATCAGGAAGTGGGTTTTTTTCGCGGGTATCCCATTTTCAGTAACTACTGACAAGATTGACGTCACACATACTTTCCTTCTACAGTATTGTAAAGATTAGAATGACCCTTCACTTTGATATAACATTTTGTTCAAATTTCCCAAAAAATCGTAGGCTATTGATTGCCTAATTTTATTGAGTGTTCCTTTTTTGTTGTTGTTGAGTATTTATGTAAATTTCAGTGATGATGTTCAATATATTTAAAACACTGTTTTATCAAGCAGACAAGTTCTAACAAAGACGAATTCGTAAAAGCAATATGTTAACAACCCTTTTGTTTAACAGGACAAAATGGTTAGATTTCGTTGTTTTTTCCCATACGTTTGACTTCGGGCAAGCATTGTAATACATTAAATCAGACATAAAATTATAAGACTGTCTGGGAGAAATGATAACGATTACTAGCTTCTAACTAACACTAGTCGGCGCTAGCTGTTGTGTCTACAACCTATCGCTGTTTTGATCGGAGCCGAGTTTATCACGTGACCTTTCGCAGCCTCGTTTTAACCCGCCGTTTTGATATGTCTTCCTACGTATAATTATGTTATTAGCCCAAAGTTAATTTGCCAGCCATGTTTCAATTCTTATTTTGTACAATGATCTCTTCTTTCACGCTATACGCGTGACAGAGCGAAATAAATGAATTTGAATTAATCTGGATATTAAATTGCATGTGCAAATACATTGTTTACACTCTCCGAACGATAATGATATGAATTAATGTTGGGTTGGTCCTATCTTATTTTAATATTTTGATGTCGTTAATAAAACAGTTATGCAAACTTTAAACTCTTATAATTAACAGAAAGTACACAATCTCGAACAGATATTTAAATGTTATGTTTTTATCAGGTATGAAATGAATATCTAACCATTTAGTCCCTTTAAATTTCAAATTGGTACTATGTACTGTATTCTGTAGGTTAACATCATAATACCTCTTCATTTGTCTTTCAGCCACTTAACCTTTGTTTGCGAAACAGCAAAGAGAGCGGTAATAAAAACACTGGTCAACAGAGAGTTACAAATTATATTAAGTGTCCGTTGAGAGTTGATAAAGATATCAAATCTACCGAACATTCGTTGAGTGTCATTACGACACCGGGATATGTGATGGATGATAATGAGAAAATGGTACAGAGTTGGCTTCAGCACATGCCACGAAAAAGGAAGATTTCGACAGAGTACGATCCTTATCCCAAGGCAACCTCTTCATCGAACGCCCGAATGGCGTCTTCTGAGCTAAGTATGGACTCTAGCAGGACAGGAATAAACGTCAAACTTTACAACGAGAAACTGTGGAATATCTTCAGAAAGGAGGGAACAGAGATGGTCATTAACAGATCTGGAAGGTTTGCTTTTCTTTAATAGGAAATTAAATCCATTCGTTTTGTAATTATTGAAAGAAGTAGCAACTTAATAACTAGAATGAAAACTAAACACGCGTCCGTGTTCATTGATCCTGATGTCAGTACCATACTTAACACTGTGTTACATGTGATTGTGCCTGTAGACAAAGCATCAGATAGCTTGATATCTATCTGCAAATATCATTTCATCCCAAGTACAAGTCTGTCTCCTGTGCCTTTTTCACATGCTGTAAAATATTTGTCTTTCTCGGCAAATTTCTTCCAGGCTCATGTATCCTCGCGTGGAGGTAACCGTGGAAGGCCTTAATTCAGGCAGTATGTACAGCGTCGAGATGGTCGTGATTTCTGTGGATGACAAGTACTACAGGTACAAGGACAACATGTGGTTAGCAGTTGGCAAGTCCGACGTGCATCATCCGATCACTTCTTATAAACACCCTAGCTCACCTGCAATGGGATCTAATTGGATGAAACACATGCTGTCCTTTGGACAAGTGAAACTATCTAATCATGGAGGTCCTGGCAAGGTATTGCATTGAACAGAAAGTAAAAATATCATGTTCGCAATGAGGTATCTCTTATAGGAAATCTAAAGTAGTGGTCAGCACCATCATCGAAGTTCAGAAAGTAGAAATGTTTCTACCGCTAATAAATATTTGTATCTAAAGGTATTTCTGAAAAGTTTTACAAAAGTCTAGAATGCGTTATTTATTAATAAATATCAAAAGTTACAAAAATAGAAATTTGATAGCATTGATGTGGTTAAAATCCAATCAAAATGACGTATTAAATCTTGGGCGGGGATTTTTTGTCCTTATTTAGCCAAACGCAGATGACGCAGCAATAATTGATGTTTTCACTCTACATACCAGGACTTTGAGAATTTCCCCGAAAACAGTTGAATGACTTTGAGATAACTATACAAAACTGCTTACAAGGTTTTGTGTCATAAAAACAAGCGACAACATCAGGTGTTCACAATTGCTTTTAACCAGGTGTCAATTGTAGTAGTTTCCAATATTTGATTATTCTGCCTTTCCTTTACATTTTCGATATAATATTTCTAGATTCTATCTTATAAGTAACATTCAAAGGAACATTACATATGATCCCATAAAGATATTGCCACCAATCAGTGTGTGACCCTTTAAATACCATACGAGTTCCATTCTTTTATCTTTCTTTTATTTTCCTTTTTCAGCCATTTGTTTTCTTCCGACAGTCCCGAAACTTAACCTCTACAATGAGGGGCTCATGGAAACAAAACAAAAAACAAAAAATCAAATTCGAGAGTAATTGAACTATTCCGATCATAAAAATGCATGACTAAGAATCAAATAGCCCCTACATGTGCGTGGGCTTTGATGGAGCACATTTCCTTTTATTCGCAACTTGTCTCTATTTGCATTTTGTAGAAAGGAAATAGATGGAAATTCTTCTGTTCAATTATAACATGATGTGCTGCTTATGCCCCTAACACATGTTCTAAGTTGGTTGGTTCCTTGTTTTGCCCATGTTAAATTCACTGCACGTTTGGCACGTAATCGCATAAATGACATTTTTGTCAGCTACCTCCTAGGTTTTAATCTTTACGGTTCGTAGCATCACTGCCAAGTCTTACAAGGATTAAACAGCTGTATAATGCTTTCCACAACTTTTGTATAACCTTTATTTTAAGAAAGAATCACAAAAAAGGAAATATAACGGTTTTGCGACTTTGCCTTGGGCATGCTTACTGGAAATTCGAGTCCAATGTGTAAGCTAGTTTCCAATCGTTAATAGGAAAAGGTATTGCTATTGAACTGTTTAACACTTTCACGACTTCTCTAGAACACAACCTGATTTAATCAAATAAAAACGTTAATGAGGTTATCAGACTTGCAAATTAGTACTAGAGAAGGAAATGAAACTATAGTATACATACCTTACCTCAGATACAAAGGACATTCTTCAGAAACCAGTTTTACCTGTTATATTATCAGGGATGACAATAGATTGTGCTCTAAGGATATTAAGTGAGGTCCTATAAACAGGGTGTTCTAGTTTATGGATACATATTTAAAGAAAGAAAATGTTAATGATATCATATTATAGTTTCTTTGTTGTATTAACAGTGAAGAAAAGCAGATGTTAAAAATGATATAATGATATATATTATATTAGAAATATTTGTTCCATCTAAGGAAATATAAAAAAAAAATAAAAGGTACGAGTTTCTGAGAAATACCATTAGGATATGATTATTGGATACAGTGAAAGGTCACTAAAATTCCAATAGCCAAAAGATATGTATAGTATAATAGCAATACATGTTTTCATCATATGCTTATTCTGTTGTACATTTTGTAGATTTGCCTCCAGTCAATGCATAAGTATATGGTACAGATCGATGTGATACATCACGACACGATGGACCAATCGTACCACTTCACCCTCCCTGGTACGGAGTTCATCGCTCTTACTGCATACCTCAACGAAAAAATCATTGACCTCAAAATCTCGCATAATCCGTTTGCGAGAGCGTTCAAGAACAAGAAATTCCTGTATGTACAAAATTATTAATGATATGAAGGATATTGATGAAACACAATACTATTCAAATAAATTTTGTAAGACTTCACCTTACTAACACTTAAATACTGGGCACTAAAAGTTAGTGATCACTATTTGAATTTATTTTATCAAAAGGCAAAAACTTTTGGAATATGAAATAGACGAGTTAAGTCAGACAATAAGAGAATCACATTGAATATATTTCATTCAAGCGTTGCGTGCATGATTACATATAAAGTTCATAACCCTCTAAAACAAAGTTTGTCCCAATGGTGCTGATAATTTAAAATACTGCAGTGGGTTCAGCAACACTATAAGAAGAGAGAGTGTTCTCTATTGGCTCGAATAACGGCACGACATCAGCTGCGCATGCTCATAATCAGATGCCGTATAACCATTTGTGGTATTCGTGGACATCTATGACGAAGTGCATCAGCAAGCTCCTCCCAATTGACAGAAATCGGTAGACGATCGGTAATGCATTACTTTAAGATGAACCACACATTCTCGATCAGATTAAGGTCTGATGAAAGACTAGACCATTCCATACGCTGGATAGTTTCTCCTTGAATATAGTCATTCAATAGTCTAGCTCAGTGTGGTCGAGAACACCAGTACAAACTCAGAGCCGACAGCATCCGCAAAAGTCTTACCCCACTCTCCTTACCTCTCGCCCATCTCACACCAAACACATGAAAGTTCACAAAAACCTTGGACTCACCCGTACAAAGAATAGGCAGTCACAGTTCGTTGTGATTGTCCTGCTTACTGCATTTCAACTGATAGTGATCCCATTACAAAATCTTCAAAGTTCAGTGCGAGATGAAGCTGAACATGTTAGATGCTCTTGAGTGTTCCATTAGTTCTGTCGTTGTGTACCTTGTTCTCATCTAAGAACGTAACATTACTACTTTTTCTTATTCCTCCTGTACTGTTCAGGCGTTTTTGTGTGAATAATTTGTCTGTAATGTGTCTTAGTTTTGCTAAGTTTTAGTTTGGATTTTGATCACGTGTTGATAATTCTTGTTGTTTTGGTCACATAATAATGCTATGTATACTTACAAAATATTTTCAGTATCATAAGCTGTGAACCCCAAATATTAACAACTATGATTAAAGCTACATCACTGTATGATCTTTTATGTTGTTAGCTATTAAATATATGGTTTTTCTTTTCTCTTTGGCGTATGTCCCCAAAAATGATAACTTGCACAAACGAAATGACATTGTTTAAAAAGTGTGATAGCGACTGAATTCTTTGTTTTATGAAATATTTGGAATAGTTTTGGCGAGTTGTCTACAAGCTTATTTATCATTATCTCTTTTAAAAAAAAAAAAGAAAAAACTCTGTTCTATAAGTACCAGTTTTTTTATGGCGAATCCGGCAATAACACACCAACTCATCAGGATTTGTTACATCATTATATCCGGGGAAATCTTAATGTTAAACAATCTGTCAGATATATAAGGCGTTTGATAGTATTTGTAAGGTGTAATTTTACAACGGAAGTCATGCGTTCTTAGCAGTTTTAAATTCAAACATAAATGAAAAATGCTCTATTTTACCGAATTCCGAATATTGTTGTGAACTGGAAAATGCCAACGTTAAGCTGAGTTACTACATGGCATCTAGATGAAAAACACTTGTTTGACAAAAATATAAGTGCAGTAATTCTTGAACAGTTTACTTCGGTGTATCCTTAACCATTTATTACCAAACATATTAGGCGATGAATGCAGAAATCACTTAAGAAATATTGATTGTATGGCAATATTTCAATGAGAACTTTCTAGTACAAACGTATCTTTTCTCCCCTCTGCGTTGCGATCTTGTTATCAGATTCAGTCCAGATGACTAGGTGATTGCGTTACTTCTGCATTACCCGATCAACCTGTATTTCATTTGTGTTTCTGTTTAAACGTTTAATTTTATTTTCTCTTTTTCTTGTTGCATTTTTCTTGTTCTGCTCAGACATGTTATTGTTTGCATTGTGTCCAATCCTATTGTCAAGCAAATAGAAATAGTCAAACAAAAATGACTATGGAATATTTCAACGTTTTGAAAGACATTGTAATAATACCTCTAGAAACCGTTATTGACAATGTCGGTTAACCATAGGATAACTTTTTTAAGCCTCGAGCTAAACTTAATTCAAGGAGGAAATCTTACCACCCGTAAATACTGTAAGTGTTGTGAACTTAAACAGCTCTGTACATTATCCGAATGTGAGAACGTTATGTAAAGTTGAGCCCAAAGTGCGTTGGAATTATGAGTTGGTTTTTTTCCTCGATTCATCGTTTACTCCTTTTATTTTTTATTTCATTTTAATTTTTACCACGTTTGATACGAGAGGTAAGTTTTGTATTTGTAATACGTGTTGATCATCATTTATGACTATGCTGATTTAAATAAATAAACCATTCCTATCTTAATTCCATACCGTATTACATCCCATAGGTACAATGTTCGATACAAACTGATTTAATCAATGCGCCGTTTTGAAAATTTACTTTTAAATTGGTCTTACATTACACACGTGCCGGTCACTACCACGAGGAAATATGACATTAGTGATTAACGAATAACATTTAAACGACAGCTCTGTTCTACTATGCAAAAGATCAACGTTTTTAAAAAAAGAAATCGTCATAATTTGAAATTCTTTCATGAACTTGAATAAAACTGTTAGTATGTTATTAACATTATTTTTTTATTTCCAGAGGCAAAGCTGTCGATAGCCACCATAAACAGAAAAAGTCCCGTCTTAAATGTAAACAAAAAGCGTTTTATCAGTAATTATAATGTTATTGAAATGTTCCTTGTGTAAAATAGATCATTTATCCTTTTACGATCTTTCCCTAACACAATACCTTCCCTTTATCAAATCAAGTCTCTATGCTGTCATGTTTTGTGTTTCAGTTCGGTAGATATTGGCGTATCTGTGAATTATGTAACAATTAATTCTCTTCTATCAAATATTGTTGTCTATAAAATCCGATCTAAGAAGACAATTAAGAAAGAAACATTCTAATACTATCTTGCATTTTCCTTGAATTTTTCCTTGAATTGCTAAACTTAAGTAGAATGTATGAACTAGAACAATTATCATCTCATATCTAACTGGACATCGTAATATTGAGATTCATGTCTGATTGCTGATGGTATTTTTATGTCAAAAATACACATTTTTATTGTAGCCACAGAAGTTAACAGTGTTTTTAACGACTCCGCTTCCTCTCCTGGCAACAGTTCCACGGAGAGCTTGAAGAATCACTCCCATTCTTTGGAATGTAATGTATATTTCATGTTACAGGATAGGCTCAGCAAACAATGTTTTGAACGGAATTTCTGTTTTGGTAGATTTAATTCAACTAATGAAACAAAAATATTCGAATGACGGAAAACTGTTTTTTCTTATATGAAAGTCAGATGTAGGACAAAATTCTTACAGTTAACGTTACCGAGAGAACCGCTAAGTTCAGATCGACTTGAGCCTGAAGGCAGGGATCAGGTGCATCATAATTCCTTTTCGCTATAGAAAAACTTCATTTATGTTATAGGAAACATGAATTCTTTGAACAGAAAGTTAAGTAAAATCCGAGCAATTTGATCAGCATAAGGCTTTTTACAAATAAGTCACTAATATCTTGATAAGTTACATCTTTCGACGTTTTGGTTGAATTGTGTCACATGTATTTGTTTTAATGCCTTTTCAGTTGACAGCTCTGGTGATACCGTCCTATCGACGTTCCATTCCACTGATTCAGTGACATATTTTAAATCTTACCTGGATTCACTGAAACTACAGGCATGTTTTCCTATTGCAGGTAAATTGAAATTATGCCATTCTATCACACATCCAGTTTTTAAATCGACTTTTAATTAAATGTCAAGAAGAATGTCTATAGTCGATATCTGTATTCCAAACTGCTTAGTGACGCGATGTTGTGATTGGTTGGGGAAGTTAAAAGAAAGAAATCAATCTTCTCTCCTTTTATGGTAAATTCAGGAAATTGTTTTTGTACAATCAATACTTCTTTGGAATGACCCTTTTTGTCAGTCAAAGTTATATATTCTCCAGAACAATGTTGTTTAAAATGTTCTTCCTGATTCTTAATGTGTGCCTGATTCAAAAGAATATGTACTGTCAGAACCATTATTCAGCCCTCCTTCTTTGTCATTTCATTAATTCCGTGTCGTATACCATAATATTGAATAATAAATTTTACTCATCAAACCTATTCATTTTACTTATAGGAGGTCCAAAACAGGAAAATGGTGAGGCAAAATATCATTTTAGGTCTTTTTACTATTTCATGTGTAAAATTCTAATTTGAATCAAATTAATTTCATACTCAAAATACAAATGCGATAAAGCTTTTAACGAAATTGCATTTTTCAAAACTACAAAAGAAATTCCAAGTTGTAAATGTCAATATGATTATGTAATAACAACTTTCAGCATTCGTTTTCATAAATTTCCCCTAATTTTTTTTTGTAACACATTTCATTGTAAAGAATATGACAAATTTAGTCGACACGTTGTTTGAATACCGATTCATCTTTTCAAGTTACACAATTTAATATTATATTATTCAGACAGGTTCCGTAAGGAGTATATGGATAGAAGACTCAGTAGCTTGCCGCCATGGTTATGTCTGGTCACTTCGTCCGGTTTCTACCGCAATCAAATCTTTACTGGTGACTAGCTGAGCTCCGAACCCGTCCTGTAATCTACACTTCATGGATATAAATGCACGACATGAATTTGTCCGATATGAAATGATGATGACTAACGCTTGTCCTTTATATCATTCGGGAACTGTTGTGATTGTGTTTGTCGTAGGTGGTCGATTCAATCAACTATATTTACATATTAGTAGGGTTGATAGTTTGTCTCTACTATTACAAACAATTTGGAATTTTATATTCTAAAATTTATTTAACAATACTAGTGCTATTCATCAGACTGAGATACATGAGTAAACAGTAAAGGCATTCTAAAGGCAATATAAAGAACTTTTGAATGATGACACAATAGTTAAGACTATAAATATAATACACAACCTGTATAATAGAGGTGATAGTTGGTTTTGTTGGCATTGTGTATAAAACACTCTTAAAGAATATTACTACTTTAGCATATTTGGCAAATCGTTTAAGGATAACAAGATATGTCAAAAGATAGTGTGAATTACCATACATTGTATTGATTATTCGTGTTGAGTGAAAGTTTGTACTACTTCCTTTTGTTTTTTCAACCCAAGGATATGTTGCATTAGTATAAGCTTTCTCAGTAAGATTAGAGTAAACGATATCGTCCGATATTTCCCTGTTAGTAAATTCTGACGAAAATACTGTTGCAGGACTGCACCACTAAGGGCCCGAGGAACAGGTCTAGACAGGTTAAAAATTACGTCATCATTAAAAATCACCTACTCTTTAAACCTCAACTAATCCTCTTTTGAATTGAAGAATGGCCTTTTTGTCAACTGGTAGTGCTGGGTCAATATTGTATATGATGTGATTTACTATATCTTTGAAGCAATTCAGATCCCCGTTCTATAATCATGTAAGACATTGCTTGCCATCAAGAGATTAATAGAATCGCGATGAAAGAATTGTCCCGGATGTCTTTCTCCACGCTTAACGCCTTTCTGAATTATATCTTTGAAACAGTTGAAATTCCAACCACATCATCTGATATAGTATTTTCGGGCATCCTTAGATGAGCATATTCAGGATGTTGAAATAGTCACAAGGGTCTTTCCTAGCCCATAATGACATAATTACTGCGATCCGCACTCCATAACCATTTATATCATGACAGGGCATCAATAATCATGCATAATCCTGATGATAAATAGGTTTAAATATTGACTCTAATGTCTGACCCGACCCATAGTGACTGAATCACTACTCTTTTCTTATGTGGCTTGATTCCGAGATCCTGACTTGTACATTAACAACTTTGTAATTGCTTGAATCTTTAACAGTCACGGTTATTGGTCTAACAATATATCTAATATATAATAACTATATCCAAGACAAAGCACAAAAAAGTAGAGATAAACATATATTCAGAATTAGAATATATAAAAATTCAGTTAATATATACTACATCCATTCGTCCTCTTTTATGATATGCTGATAGAATATGGACAAACTGTTACAGAATGAGACTGCAACATCTTGGAGTCAATCCAAATTTACGTGATTAATTCGGCTTTATGGAGTTACGAGTATAACTAGCAGTATCGTATGAAAGATAATCAACTTTCAGAACGTTTTAACGAGACTCTTTTCGTTCATTTGCTTATTTTAATTATCATCATCTTTCATAATAATACTGGGAAACAAATGTTTTCTACCACGTATGTACATGAAATTGCGAAATTACATGAATGGTATTGTAATCTATTGTCTTTATTTTACGTCATCTTGTCAGAGTGTTGTATATTAAAGAATGATTGATGCTGTATCCGTTTATTGTTTTGTGGTTTGTGTGGGTTTTTTTTTTTTTTTTTTTTGTTCATCAAATGACTGTCTTGTTCTACATTTTGTTATGCCTACAGGTCTGAAATAGACACAAAACTAAATTCGAGTTTGCCAATTATCAGGTATTCTACGTATTTGGTTTGTATCATACTAATGCATCATATACGTACCAAGTAAGACGATAATGTATCAACTGTATCATTCAAGATAGCTGTGTCCCCAGATACCTTTGAAGTGATCAACCGTTATTAGTATCTTAAATACTTTTATTAGATGCAAACTGTCTTCGTAAAAGTATTACAATATATCAGGCATTTTGATTTTCGCATTCCTTCGAAACAAACATTACAAAGTCCGACATTTTCTTGCAAGGGGTATGCTTTTATTAAGATACTATCTGTGAATGTTTTCTTTTTGTCTTAACGATTTTTAATGGATATTTAATTTTGGTATTGCTAAAGGCATTATTAGTATGACATTACGATTGGTGCCATATAAGGTGCCACAGTAACTCAACAGTATCTCTGTTTTCCTTTCTTTTCGTCTTTTTCATATTTCTACTGGTTTCCTGTGCATCTATACTGTCTTTTCTTCTTATTTTATAATGTTATTTGCATATTGCATAAACAATAACGTCATTGATTATATGAAACATTATGTACCAATTTCGGTCTTATATTTGGTTTTGGATAGCAATTTGGCGTATGTCAAAAATAGATCGTGTATTTACATGATATATCAGGAAGACAAATTCGAAATACGTTCATGTAAACGGGCTAGTCAGTGTTTGTCCATTATAAATTGTTTGTTAAAAATGTCATAATGGATTTGTATATCACTCAATAGCAAGAATCATAGTAAAGAAAAATATATGTATTATGATCGGAGAGAAAAGCTGTAAATGGACACTACATTTGCGAGCTTCGAAATGTCTGTTGACTTTTATGAAGAAAACAGTGGAAATGTCTTCATCTTTACGACATTCACTGATGTGCTATTAAACGAAAGTGTCAGGTCAGCTAACGAAAATGCATCGTGACAATTGGACAACTTAATTTACAATTTCATTTTCTATGTTAGGCACGGAATTAGTTGGGACACATGATTTAAGCAATCTAAGGATGTACGTCTCTGCAATGGAAAATTGAGCAAAAAAGGGAAAGAAAGAAAAACTGGCTACCATCGAACATTTATTGAATAAAACATATGGTCATTAACCCACTTTGATTGATAAACCGTATGGTATGAAGTACTACACGCTACACGAGAAGAATTGATATAATTTCTTTTAACAACAATGAATAAACCATAGCAAATATATGCAGATATATAAGAAGCTTTCTACGTTGTATATACTTAATGTATGCTACCGAAAATCAGTTTTGTAGACTACACCTTGTTGGCAAGGGACGATATGTTTTCCCTGGTACAGTGATAGTTTTGTGGCATTTTCTTGTTTCATTCTTTCGTCCGTACGCTCACCATGATTTCTTAATTCACTTTCTTGTTCAAGGACGATATATTTTATTTCATGATCTCTTTAATATCATCCTTTTGTGAAAAAAGACAACTGCTACGCAAAAGGATGATAATGTCAATGGTGTCATTTTGTTAAATTCCTCGTTCTTCCGACCTTAAAAAAGACGTTTTATACTTGTCAATTCGGGTCAAGGGTACGAAAAACAATAATTCAGAAATGCTAAATGACACCCTTTCTTATTTCCCTGAGAAACACAGATGGACCAGTACAGATCGAACTACGACCCTAGGGTTTTCATTTGAGGTTGTAACGTCCGAAGTTGTCCAGGGTGAAACGACAAAAGAATCACAAAAATTAGCTTTCGTAGATATGGCTAGTCACATGGTATTTATAACTGAAATTCTTCACAGTAGACAGCTACATCATTATCTTTGTAATACTTTGGTATTACCATTCACTATATTACAAGATGCTGTTTCTTGATTTTGATATCTGATGTACTGCAGAGTATATCTTTTTTAAATATAGAGGTATAATGTGCAATGATCATAAGTCGATAGGGAAAACAATATTTTCATGTGGATGGGCAAGGAAGCCATTTGGATACGCCGCAACAGACCAGTAGTTACCAGGGACAAAACGTATTGGAATCAACGTCAGTATATTGTTACATTTATGTGTACGTTTCTTCTAAAATATTTCTCGATCTTGTCATATAATTTTCTACCTTATTATATACAGGGTTATAGTAAATCTAAAAACGTCAAGTAAACTCCATACCATTTCGCACACTCCATACTTTATCGCCAATACGTTTCACGCTGGCTGATGAAGGCTATCACTTTTGTTATCACTCTTAAATCATATACTGCAAACGCGACAAAAGTACCCCGCCAACGCGTTGACACCTTGGCATATAACTTTTGTTGCATTGTCACCTTTGCGCGTAACTTTTGTCGCATTTTCGCGTTGGCGCACCCGTCAACGTGACAATTAGAAATGGTCAAAACCAGCCACCATACAACAACAAAAAAGGCAAACAATCCTTATATTTTTAATTTACCATAGAGTTCAATGTAGTATCACTTTGTAACAATATTTCAGTTGTCGCACACGTGTGCACACATACGAAACGGCTGATATCTAGTTTTATTCGTCACCAGGCAACAAAAATATACATCATAGTTCAAAACGCGATTGAAAAAATTATAATAGTTTAAATTTTCTGAAATATTGCACTTAAAACATTTATTATGATCAACTTTCGAACGTGATCTTTTGTACGGGTTGTACCCCGCAC